GGTCACTTTGGCTTCTATGTCCATTCTTGGACTTAGAACTACCTTCCAACCCTTCGTTCTACACTCCTGAACATGTAGACCAATCCTAGGGGTCCCCCATATTACATGTGAGTCGTATGGTAGATAAGGAGTTAATGAAAAGTTGTTATAAGGTTATTACCTTAATCCTTCCTACGTTTCCTGACTTTTTCTTTCTTTACGCCTCCTCCTTGGACCTCTATTGCTTGAGCTCGAGTTGGGTGGCTATGGAAGGTGTTTTGAGAGCTTCTTTCTTCTTTCTTTCTGGGGTTGTCCGAATGGGTAGGGGTGTTGTTGATTGAGAATGCCTTCTTGGCATTTCTCACAATCATGGCATGTGGGAGACCCTACCCCATTTAATGCTTTTCCTCTCAACACCTTTTCTTTCCCCTCTCCCTTTTCTTTGTGCGGCTCCCCTTGTTAACTGCGGGACTAAAAGTCGTGGATTTGCCCCCACACATGTGGGAGGTCACCCCTTTGTGTACCCGAGTGTACAATCGGTCCCGAAAGTTGTATTTTCCGGACTGTTTTAGTTCTATTTTATTCTATCGGGTCAAATAAAATATAACACTTGTTCCCAATCCTTATTGGACCTTAGGAGGAGTATGTATTCCTCAACTTTAATTTAGAAGTCTCCGAAATCCCTTTTCGGGCTGTTATATGATAAATTGCCGATACTGATAATTTGGCCCGTTTGACCAACTGGTCAACCCTATGCCATTGCCATGGCCCAATTAGGATATCCACCACCATATACATATTATCTAGTCCAAGATTAATATAATATGTGGTCACGATAATATGGGGTGGCCCCCACTTCCGGTGTGGGCCCCACGTGAATTTTACTGTTCACGTAAAAGAAATGATAAAAATTTACAATCACGTAAAATGTGTTTATTCATTTCTCAGGGTTCAATACATAATTTGATAAAGTACAATTACTTGGGGCGGTGTTACACTTCATCTTAACAGCTAAAGATGCCCTAAAGGAAACTACTTTGGATCTAAGGTTGATTTTTTAGTAACACTAGATCAAGGCCCTAGGGAAGCAAAACATGCAAGAAATTGGAGAAGGGTTTGATGAACTGACCTTTGAAGTTTTGAAGAAACAGAAGAACACCGGCGAGCACAATATCTCTCTAGAAATTTGGGCAGCACTTCGTTCTCTGAGAATGCAATAGGGAGTTTCGTCGGATGGAGGGGGGTATTTATAGACCTCCCCCCCAACAGTCACTACACATGGCGCTCCCCCATTGACCACATGAACGACCACCACTCCAAAGGCCCAACAAATTACCACCGGTTCAGAAGATGGGCCAGACCCACTTCCATCAGTACCGGTCCATTGCCAACATGCCAGCAGTCAGTGTCCATAACGGCCCAAACATTCAGCGGGCAGACCAAGAAGAAACATGTGACTCCACAGGGCACGACTACATCGGCCTCAACAACCAACAATCATTTCAACAGCTGGTCACTACCAACAGCAGGGCCCCTTAAACGGCCACAACAGCAAAGCACAAAACAACCCAACAGCCTTCGGCCTTGTATAAAACCATGATGATAACTTCTTGAAAGTGACCTGCGTCCAAGGGTTCTCCCACATGGTTACCTTGGTCAGGAATCACCAAGGGGTTGGATTCAGGGGAATACAAGGATCCCGCTTCGGCCTAGGGTTACACCTTACTCCTTCACCCCTCGCTCACTCTTCGACCTGAATCAGTGGGGGACTGGGGGACTACACCGGCCTCTGTAAATACAAGAGAGGACAAAATAAAAAAATCCAAAAATACATCAAGTCCACAACTACAACATTAGATCATATATGCACCATGACGTCCATGACCTTGTGGTGCACCTTCGGTCGCAACAAAGTCAACAAACAAAGAACTATAACTCCCCCCAAAATGTAACACGCATCGTCCCCGGACACGCGCCATTCAACGGCTTTGAGATCACACACTCCACCCTCGACCAAGAAATGAAAACAGGAACCCAACATCCTCGGGTCACCATCGTCCATGAGATCAGAATACACACTACTTGTTCCGGATCAGTAACGCTATCGTCATCAAAGATGGACACCAAACTACGAATACCACCGCCTCGGCCTGTGGCACAAAAGCAATCATTTGGCCTCCTCGGCCAAGACACCAAAAGCAACCGCCAATGACCAGAAAGAAGAAACATCACCCACATCGGCTATTCAAATCAAGAGCACATATCGGCCATAAATCAGGACACTCATCGTCCTTAAACAAGCGAACTCACCCCGTCCAGAGGAACATCAGCCTTCTTCGTCCAGAGTGAGGAGCATACAACGGCCAAATGAAGAACCAAAAAAGGAAATGGCCACATCGGCCAAAAGACATCAAGATTATGGAATCTACTCTCCCTCACTTCGTCTACGTCTCAGCTCAGAGAGTGGGGGACTCCTGATGGGGTATATGGGTCTGGACCCCAGGACCCACATACTCGGAAGAATAAGAGGCACAACTGTCACCCAGTGGGACCTCCGTTGGCCAGATGGCCCACCATCGGCCAGAAAGATATCAGCTCAGAATATGGTCCAGAAGCCAGGAGAACCGGGTGTCCCCGTTGCCCGGGTCTCCGTCGGCCATGGCTTCGTCGGCCATAAAGGGCTCCCAGAACCAGGTTTTGCACTTAATTACTTCTACATATCTTGTACTCAGCCCAATAGTGGCCCAATTGTAAATGGGCCTCCCAAGCCCAAGACTTGGGAGCCTAACCCTAATTTCCTCTATAAATACTCCCCTTGGGGGTAGTTGTAGGGGGTTCACAAATTATTCATTGCAAAGAGTTATTGCACTTCTATCTAGGAGTTAATACTCCATCATGTAGTTTCAGATTTATCACTTGAAATATGTTTATCACCTTGAAATGTCTCTACACAAGTATTTAATTATATAGTTTTCATAATTTAATTATTTAAATTATTAATAAGAAATTAAATTGTGAGCGATTTTTGATGGGTAATATGTGGATATGTATAATCTCAAGAGCCATATAAGTTACATATACAATTAAAATATACGAGTAACAGGTATTAATAGCAACCATGTCAATTATACGATCAATGTAATTACCCTCATTTTCACTACACTGATTCATTGCATTTATCCATTGAATCATTTTGGATATAACTACCATCTCTAAATAACTATGAAATTATATTGATTATATTTTTTTCAAACCGAACTACTCTCTCAAAAGCTACAAACAACATTTTCCCGTTGGTAGTTTTACAATGCCGACAAACAAATTATAAAATTTTAGCTTAGTAACCACGTTAGTTTTTCGAGTTAGGATTCACTTATGATCAAATCTCATTACGCATTTCACAACATATTTTTAGTTTATTGTTTAGTGCTAAAAAAGTATTTAACTATATCACATGTATTAACTTACAAATTTTAAACACTTATTCATCTACAATACAATTATATAACTTTTCTTTATAACAATTATCCGACTATCTCCGTCCCACCTTCGTCTGCTCGACTATCTCCGCTCCGCCACCGCTTGCTCGACTATCGCCACCTCGCAGTCTCCGCATGCTAAGCCGCAACCTCATACACACAAAGTCTCACTCAAAAAGACATGTTTGGAATTCCATATTTGAACCATGTACATAGGATGAGTTTAATTATATCAGAAACATATGTTCTAGGTTTTTTAATTATATGTAATTATAAATCTATCAACGACCATCTCCCTACAAGAGTTACGTTTTTCCTTTTCCGAATTTTCATGCGGCATGTTTACATTTTAGATTTCTATCTTTCGTTTATTAGTTGCAGTTTTTTGGATGTTCAATTTGATTGGTTCACTGATGTACAAAGTTTCACACCCGTTTATTCATTTGTTGGCTTTGGTGTCTTGGTGCGGCAAACAAGCATCTTTTCTGGAGCAAGGGCACACTTGGAAAAGCGACACGACAATATGAATGTGGAGGATGACGAAAAAAAGCTGACTTTTTGACATGGTAGACAGTGATGTGGACCAGACCGCTAGGTTTGCGGTCGAATGGATTATGGCTGATAGTTTGTATCATTTCTGGATCAGACATCCTTGGTCGGCCACCCTGATGACAGTGAAGTTAGTATTCACTTCTATTGCAAGAGCTCGCCTTCCTACTTACCGGGAAGAGTTTTGTGGAATGACCTTGTTTCAATATTTCTCTCTCTTTAGTAGTACTTGTTTCTATTTTAGTCTGAGTAGGTTTGTTTTGAATGTTTGGTTTTTTGGCATTCTTTTGTTAGACATTGTTTCGATTCCGGTCGTTTTAGGTCTAAATTTGTCCATTTCAGGTTTAGCGAGTCAGATTGCTTTGTACGAGGTGACTGACTCTAAGCCTACTCTTAGGGTTGTCTTGTATGTGTTCTCGGTTTAAATATAACGACCGCTCTTTTATGCTAAAAAATCTTTTCCCAAGACTTATAAAAAATAAAAGAGATAAAATTAAGTTAAATATATAAACTTTTAAATTCATATCATTAATAGTCATTTTACGTCTTAAAAGCTAATTGCAAACAACTAAGTTACTAACAAATTATTTCAACCAGCTAATGAATGTCATTAGTCGGAAAAGCTAACAGAATCCACTAGTACAATCTGTTGATTGAATCGGGTATAAGCTAGCTTACAACTGTTATTATTAAACACGTCCGTTGACATTTTTAATCCTCCATTTTTTATGATGAAATCAAAGTAGAAAGATTGAAAGTGTCAATTTGATAATACTTGAGATATGAAATGTCAAGAATTCTAAATTCGATGATTGAAAATGTCTCACTCACAAAAAAATGATCGATCTGTCATTAATTTTTTTTACCAATCGAGTAAATCACCTTTTTTTATCAATATGGTAATTTGGCCTACGTACGTAGTACATAGTTGGGCTTTGAAACAGCTTTTTCTAACCCCCAGCCCATCACGTATAGCCTTATTGGGCTTTAAATACAGCCCTTGGGTCGATAATGTAGGTTTTTCGCTGAGTAAGGGTTGAAGCTCATTGCTCGCCAGGAGGTGGCCGCCGACTAGCTGACGTCCGTTCTCCCATCTCCTCTCCATTTATTTGTATGGTGCCTACAAAAAATGTGCATCTCTTCAGTCTTTTCAGCGTCGATTTGATTGTAGTGTTATGGTTTGGAGTTTGCCGATTTTTCATTGTTTTAAGTCTCTCTTTATTGTTGTTCGATTGCAGTGTTTTAAGCAGGAGCTGGAAGATGTCTCACAGGAAGTTTGAGCACCCCAGGCATGGTTCCCTTGGATTTCTTCCTAGGAAGCGTGCTTCTCGACACAGGGGGAAGGGTATGATTTCATTGGTTGTTCCGCTTCAGATTCCTTGACTCTTTTCTTGATTTCTTCCTAACTAACAGGTGTACTTAATTTGTTCAAATAACAGTGTGATTTAGCTGTTCATAATATTTCCATTTCACTAGCTTTTGTGGTGTCTGAATACAATAAGAGAGAAGTAGAATAAAACAGATTGCAACAGAAATTGTGAATCTGTTAGCAAAAAAAAGTAGCTAAAGTTGTTTCGTGCTGGTCAACAAAGGCTTTACTTTTACTTGATAATTTTGGGTTCAGGAATATATATTTTGATACAAACAATATTTGAGCATTTCAGTACAATAAGTAGTGATAGCTGTATTTATATCTCATGCATAATGCATTTTGTATAGATAGCATATATCTGTGCTTGTAAAATAGTTTATTGATATCTACAGTCTTCACATTAACTGAATCAGTATTTGATATGCAGTTAAGGCATTTCCTAAGGATGACCCTTCAAAGCCATGCAGATTGACTGCATTCTTGGGTTACAAGGCAGGCATGACTCACATTGTTAGAGAAGTCGAGAAACCTGGGTCAAGTATGTATCATATTTGTGTTTTTTTGCAGTCTCTTATTTGATATGTATGTTGTATGCATTTTAATTGATGAAATTCTGAAGTTTTTCTGTACCTTGCCTTTAGATATTGTAAATTTCTTTGTTCTTATACTCTATGGATATATTGCTATTTCCAGAATTACACAAGAAAGAAACATGTGAACCCGTGACCCTAATTGAAACTCCACCAATGATAGTTGTGGGAGTGGTTGGCTATACAAAAACACCTCGTGGTCTTCGTTGTCTAAACACTGTTTGGGCTCAACATCTGAATGAGGAGCTAAGAAGGAGGTTTTACAAGAACTGGTGCAAGTCCAAGAAGAAGGCATTCACCAACTATTCACATAAATATGAAACAGAGGAGGGGAAGAAGGATATCCAGGCACAGTTGGAGAAGCTGAAGAAATATTGCTCTGTCATCCGTGTTTTAGCTCACACCCAGGTTTATATGCACATTTTACAAACATACACGAAGCCTTTATAAATACTGGTGGCTCGAGTGTTTTATGGAGCTGGGTTATTTTATCCCAAGTGTCTGTCTGGTACCCGGGAATTACATGGGTAAACATGAAACAAAAAGGGGACCATAGAAAAGAATGTAGATTGTAGTGCTTGGTAAATTAAAAGATGTGCTCAAACTCAATGACTTTATTTTACATTATACACACAGATAAAGATACCAAAATATATGTAAAAAATATTCTAGAACTTAAATCGAAAACATGTAAGAAGCACTTGGCCCTTTTCTTTCTTTCTCTGATCAAATGAAACTATTGATGCAATGTAGATAAGAAAGATGAAGGGGCTGAAGCAGAAGAAGGCCCACATAATGGAAATCCAGGTGAATGGTGGGACCATTGCCCAAAAAGTTGACTTTGCGTATAGTTTCTTTGAGAAGCAGGTCCCCGTGGATGCAGTTTTCCAGAAGGATGAGATGATTGATATCATTGGTGTCACCAAGGGGAAGGGTTTTGAAGGTGTTGTCACCCGTTGGGGTGTCACACGGCTCCCCCGTAAGACCCACAGAGGGCTTCGAAAGGTTGCATGTATTGGAGCATGGCACCCTGCCAGGGTTTCCTTCACTGTTGCTCGTGCAGGTCAGAATGGGTACCATCACCGCACAGAGTTGAACAAGAAGGTGTATAAGCTGGGCAAAGCTGGGCAAGAGTCTCATACTGCGTCAACGGACTATGACAGGTTATTCCTAGTATACTAGTTATCATGAAATTTTCACATGAGCTACCCCGTCCCAAATATTGCTTGTTTCTTGTCTGGAAAGTCTTTTTTAAGGTTCTCTTTTTCTCATTGAATTAATTGTCAGCTGCTTCATCTGGTGTGTAATTTTGTCATATAATATAAATGAATACTTTTGCTAAACTAACAAATATATTGGTAAGTTGTAGGATTTGGTGAAATTTCAAGTTGTACACTTGTACTGTGCCCTTAATAAATAGTTGTATGTTGACAATAGAGGATGTCTTATTATCTTATAGGGGATGATGAAAATTTACACTTTTTTATTTTATGTTTTAGGCTTCAATCATATTTTAAAGCCCTTTTATTTTTGAATGATAATCAGGACTGAGAAGGATATTACTCCTATGGGTGGATTCCCCCATTATGGTGTTGTGAAGGAGGATTACCTAATGATCAAGGGTGGTGTTGTTGGTCCCAAGAAGAGGGTTGTCACCCTTCGCCAGTCTTTGCTCAGACAAACCACCCGCAGTGCAAATGAACAAATTAACCTCAAGTTCATTGACACCTCCTCAAACACCGGGCATGGTCGTTTCCAGACCACAGATGAGAAGCAGAAGTTCTATCGTCGAGTCAAGGCTTAGACCCCACCGAGATTGCCCGTACGTGATCATTTTCTTTCCTTTTTCAAGGCATGGCCGTTGTCACTGGCTTTAGACTATTTGTTTGATCAATGAACAAATACATTTTTGTTTTTAATATATGTCCGACATTTTTGTGTTGTTTTGATGTCTTTAATCTTGAATACACTTGCAATAGTTCCTTGCCCCCTTTGTAACAGGAGAAGGTAATCTGTACTCCATGTTGTCAAGGGTTGAGGGCGTATATTAATTATTAAAAAAGAGTTTTGTGTCATGACTTGAAATTATATTCGCCATCTTCAGCTTCCTTTGAATCAATTCGAAGGGAAGGAAGGTTCCAACTTTCCGAGCATATGCTATATTAATACGTAGTACATAGGGATGGACTCGGGCCGGGTGGCCCGACCCGGAACCGGCCCGGGACCGGTGGCCCGGTCAGTGACTGGTCCGGGTAGGCCCGGCCCGTGGGTTTTCCGGTCCGGGCTCGGGTCACCCAAAACAAGGCCCGACCCGACCGGGCCTGGGCCCGATTCGGGCCAAAAACTATTTTTTCTTTTCATTTTTTGTTAAATTTTTGGGTTGGGCTGGGTATTTTGGGCCATTTGGAGTGGTTTGGGGGGGTGGGGGTGGGAGGGGGGTTAATTAAGAAGAGGAAAACAAAAAAAAAATGATAATGGACCCGGACCGGACCAGGTGGTTACCCGGGCTGGTCCCGGGTCCACCATTTCTGAACCGCCGGCCCGCCCGGGCCTAGGCCCGATCTGGACCCAGCCCGGACTTGAGTCCATCCCTAGTAGTACATCTTTACGTTACCTCACCCTATATTGGCGTGTTATATTTTTTTCGTAATTCTTGTGCACTTGTATCTATAAACAATACATTTATTGGAAAACTCAAATTTGTCTACCTACTTTTAAGAAAAAGTTAAATGAATCCATAATTCATATACTTTCCTTTGAGTCAATCAAGTCTGTTACTCTGTTTACTATCAAAAAATAGTGATGGACCGGGCCTGGTCCTTTTTCGGGCTAGGCCCGGTCAGGCTTGGGAGTTTGGGAATGAAGCTCGGGACTGGCCTGGGTGTTCGGTGGTCATGGTTTGGGCCGGGCTACCTGTTTGGGTACCGGGCCGGGTCGGGTCGAGTACTGTTTTGTTAAAAATTTAAAATATCGAGTTTAAGAAATTAAATCAAGAAGTGCTACATAAAAAAACTAAACGTATATTTATTTGATATATGAACTACATGTCTACAACTGAGAATTTGGTAAAAAATTAAAACATGAAATACATTTACTAATAAAGTGATAAAGAATAATCAATCGGAATCTTCACCACCGTCGGTTGTTGTTTCCCCCTAGGGATGCACTGAACGGGGCCAAACTGGTTGTGAACCGGACCGACCCACTACTGTGCGGGCCCGGACCGGACCGGGATCGGATGGCCGGTTTCGGGCTTTTAGCCCGTGCTGGCGGGCCGGGCTCGGACCTTATTTTTGTTGAACCGGCCCGGGCGGTTCGGGCCGGACCCGGTTCATTTTTTTTTCATTTTTTTTCTTTTCCTAGGGTAGGGGCTGGGTGTTTTGGGGAGGTTTGAGGGGTGGGAGGTCGGGGGTTAATTAGAAAGCAAAAAAAAAAATTACATAGATCCGGCTCCGGCTCGGCTCAGTAAGTCCCGACCCGGTTCCAAGCCCTACAATTTGGAAAAAAAGTCCGCCCGGGCCTGGAACCGGAACCGGACCAGCCCGGGTCCATCCCTATTTCCCCCATAAAGTGTTTGGTAGGGGTGATGCAAAGTGTTGTTGGCTTGTTGCCTTTGCTTGTTTTCGCATACTCCACAGGGTGACATACCTTTCGATGCCTTGTGATTTTACTGTATCCTTGTGAAATTCCCAAGCTAAAATCTTTCTTGCAATGGTTGCAAGTTGCGTACCATTTCTCGGTTTGTGGGTCTTTCCATTTTACCAAATTATTTTCCATAACTAAAGATTTACCTTTCTTACAATATAAGTATATAACAATACTACTATTAACTAATAGTAGAATTATATATGAAAATTTAAAATGAATATATAATATTACAAATAATAACAATAGTAAGAAAGTGGGGAAGAGTAGTAGATGAAGATGATGAAATTGATGAATATAGTAGTTGATAGAGAATAAGAGAGTAGAGAATGAATTGTGTAAAAAAATGAAATGAATAGCTATTTATAGAAAATCCCCCACCCCACCCTCGGGACACCCCCTTGCTCTCAACGGCTATAGAGCCGTTTGGGAGCTCCCCAACGGCTATATGCCTGTTTAATAAAAAAAATTGTTTTAAATTCTAGCAGTTAGGCCCGGGCCTGACCCGGCCAGACCGGGTCACCAAATTCGAGTCCCGGAACCGCCCCGCTTTCATTCCCGATCCAGGCCTAGGCCCGGAACCGGTACCCGACACCCGGGCCGGGCCCACACAGTAGCGGACCGGGCTGGTTCACGGGTCGGTCGGCTCGATCCCGATCCAAGACTATAAAAAAACGACCAAATCCGCTACGTATTAGGTTGCCAATCGGTTGTCAAGTTAACCGGTTATGTGGACATCCATCTACGTCTACAACTACAGATCTTGGGGCGGCGGCAATGGAGATCGGGTGGTTGGAGTCATTCCATGGAAGAGGCAAAGTTGGAGATCGGGTGGTTGGAGGTCCATTCCATGGAAGAGGCGGAGTTGGAGACAGTGGAGGTGGAAGCCGGAAGGCCACAACTATGGAGGCCGTCGTGATTGGAGGTCGCTTGGAGGCGAAGGGAAAGGCCACATAGGTGGTGGCCAGAGGCGGTGTGTATGTCGGAAGGGGAGGTTGAGGTGAATGTGTAGGCCGGACTCTTGAGGCGGTGGCTCTGGAGGGTGGAAAGCCGAGATGGTGGCTAGAGAGGCAGAAACGGGGGAGTTGGTTCCTAGGAAGCACGGAAACGTGAACTGGGGGAGGTTTCCGTCCCGGAAATGTTTCGGAAACGCGAAACGCCAGGAAACGTCGTGGAAACGTTTCTGAGGTGTTGGGCTGTTGGGCCGGGTTGGGGAAACGTTTCAGAAACGGCGCTGGGTATGGGCCGACGTGTTTCTTCGGAAAATTTAAAAAAGGATTGGGCTGTTGATCGAAGCTTACCTCTCTGCGAGTCTGATTCTGCGCAGTGCGAAGAGCCGAAGACTGCGAACGAAGTGCAAAGGGTTATTTGCGAAGGGTTGTTGCTTCAAGCCTACGAACGAGACAGAGACCATCGACCATCATCATCGCCTGGACTCCAGGGAGGCAGGGAGTGCTGGCGTGCTGGTTCGCTACTTCACTGGACAGGTCCGAAGAGAAGGCTTTGGTTTTTGGGTGAGAGAATTCTCTCTTTAATTTCAATTGTTTCCAAGTTCTAGTAAGTACAGACCTTTCTTTATACTCAAATATGGAACTTACTTCAGATTGTTTCAATTGTTTCATATGCATTACTTATATTAGTAAAAAAATTAATTTTTAGTTTGACGTTTCCTTGCCGTACCCGTTTCCTGATATTTTGAGTTTAGCGTTTCCCCGTCCCTGTTTCCGTCCTGATGCTACTTAGGTTGGTTCTACAGAGAGACAAGAAAGAAAGAAATGAAGGAGACAACCAGATCGGGAAGGGCGGACCAGGAAGAAGAAGGAAGAGAAAAAAAGAGAAAAGGGAAGAGAAAAAAGAAAAGTAAAAAATGGGAAAACAGTAAAATAAAATGCCACGTCGGACATCCACGTAGGCGGTTAACCGGGTAACCGGTGGACTACCTATTAAAAAGCTGATTTGATCGTTTTTTGATAGTTAACAGACATAATTGACTCAAAAAAGAGTACATGGATTCAATTGATTTTTTTTAAAGTAGGTGAACCTATTTGACAGTTTTTCCCTACATTTGTCTATAAATAATACATTTCATGATTAAAATTAAGGAAACTATTGCCACATGTCATCTCTAGAATTATTGTTTTGAATTCACTTTCTAATTAAAGGAACTCATCCGTAATTCAAGTAATCAATTACTACTTAACTAAAATACTAACTCCTAATCCCTCCGCCCCCCTAATATTGGGACGGAAGAAAGTAGTGTAGTTTTTAAGAAAAGTAGATTATGTGGTTGATAATGAATTGATAAAGTGAGAATAAAGTAAGAATGAATTAGAGTCACCAAATGACCAAATGTTACTAAATATCATATGAGACAATAATAGGAAAAATCCAAAAATGAAAAAATGGGACAATTATAGGAGGACGGAAGGATTATTTTTTAGGAATCCGTCAAAATAAAATCTTATTTTTTTAAGTATTACATCTTTTTTATTTGTACTCCGTTTGTTAAAAAATATATATCAAAATTCATATTTTTATTACCTTTCAAATGACACCAATATTGAATGTATAAAAATAAAAAATAACTTAACACTTTAAAAGGCATTAGTGTTTTTTAAATTGATATACTTTTGTATTTGTACTCCGATTGTGACAAAAATATATAAAAATCCTAACTTTTTATTATATTTCATATTACACCAATATTGAATATATAAGATAAAAATAATAATTCAACACTTAAAAAAACATCTTTTTTTAAAGTGGTACCACATATACTTTTTTTATTTGTACTCCGATTGTCACTGAAAACATATCAAAATTCATGTCTTTTTAGTATCTTTCAATAAGTATTAATTCAGTGTTATATATATATAAAATAGTTATTTTAATTTGTGCAGTTTAGGATCATTTTTTATCGTACACAATATTTATCCCAGAAAAAAATATTCTAAATATCTCAAACTTTGAAGGAGTGTGAGGTATTTTTGTGATGAAATTTTAACTCACCATTCTTCTTTAGTTTACAAATTGTTACCGGAATTTCCAGATTTTTCCAAGGCCTGTATGTATCCCAGGAGGATATCATAGTCTTTTTTACATAGACATATACCATTGAATCGTCAAGGAAATTGATAAGTTTGAAATGAGATAATAGGAGTAATGAAGTGTAATATACTAAAAAGTGTAATGCACAAATAAAATAAAATGATATGAATGCTAGAGGTGGCGATATCGGTTTGTTTTGGCTAAATCGAACCGTACCAATACCGAACTCAACTAAAATAGTGAATAACATGCAATTCAGTCTGAGTTTGATAATAAGTCTTCCAAATTCTAGTAAATCAGAGCAAACTAAAACCATGAAAAATCTAATCGAATTAAAATATTCAATAAAACTTTCACACGCTTTTAATAAATAACAATTCCAAACTAGATCAAACTAAACTAAATCAAACTGAACCTGACCGGAGC